TCTACAAGTTATAGATTTTATTAATAAAAAGATTAAAAAATATAAAAATGAAAAAAGCTAGAAGAACGGGAAAAATGGTGGTTGAATTTGGGTAGAACTTGGGTGAAGAATTTAAGTTGAATTAAAGATTGAAATCCCATATAATTTAAGGCTCTCGGATTGAAGCCCTATAAATATAGCCTTGGACATAGACACAGAAACATAGCAAGCAGAAAGCAAAAAAAAAAATTTGGAGTTTTTTGGGTAAAAAAAATTTTTTGGAAAATTTCTAGATTCTGTCAAAATTTTTCAAAGTCAATTGAATTTTTCAGCGAGTTTTTCGATGTTGGTTGAATTTTTTGGCAAGCTTCCTAGAATTCGACCTAGATTCCTACATCGATTGAATTTTTTGGTGACCTTCTAGTGAACCAACCTAGATTCTTGCAACGTTTTTCAGAATCTGATGGAGATTCAACCAAAATTCATCTGATTTTAGATAGAGAGGGAAAGAGAAAAAAAAGGGAAGAGAGAGAGCAAGGAAGGAGGAATCTGAAGAAAAAAAAAGAATTTGACCTTTTATAGCGTCACTAAAACGACGTCGTTTTAACGTTTAAGAAGACAGAATCCGCGCGTTTTTCATTCGAGCAACCCAACTTGAAATGCTAACCCATTTTTGACCCATCTCCAACTTTTGACTCCAGGGGAGCCGAGTCGCGCCTTTCCAGCCTCCTCATGTGGCTGCAGCCCAGCAGTTCCAAGCCGCTCCAGCCGAACCATTTTATTTTTTGGTATTTTTTAGGGTGTTTTTTTAGTATTTTATTTATTTATTTATTTATCTATTTATGTGTTTATTTTTTTAGTATTTTTACATGATTAAATTTAATAAAAAATATAAAAAAAAATAAAATAGATTTTGAGAATAAATAATAATTATCCAATGATGAAATTTTTAAAAATTTCAAATGGTAAATTTCTATAAAATTTCTAAGTGAGAAATTTTATCTGAATTTGTTCTAAATGACAGAATAATTTAGATAAAGTTTCAATAACAATAATTAATATTTATTTTCAATCCAAAAAAAATAAAAAAAATTTTGGTTGAAAATATTTTACAATTATCCAATAATGAGATTCTTAAAAATTTCAAATGGTAAATTCTTAAGAAATATCTAGATGAGAAATTTCTTTAAATTTGTCCCAATTGGTGAAAGAATTTAAATAAAATTTTAATAAAAAAATAATTGTCATATTATTTTCTTTCTAAAAACAAAAAAAGAAAAAAGAATTTATAAATATGCCCAAATGGTGAAAATTTAGAAATCTAATAAAAAAATAAAAAGAATTTCTAAATAAGCCTAAATTGTGGAGAATTTAGAAATTCAAAACAAGAAAATATTTTTAATTTGGCCAAATTGTGGAATAATTAGATATATTTTCGATAACAAAAATAAATAATTAAACATTTTTTCAATGACGAAGCCTCTTTAATATATCAAATGGGATTCTTGAATACTTTTGAGGTGAGAAAATATTTTAAGAATTATGCCAAATTGATGAAGAGTCTTAAGAATTATTTTTAATATTCAACCTAAAAATTTGAAACCATTAGAACCAAAACCCTAGAATGAATTTAAAATAATATGATACCATCCTTTAGATGGGCATGTAAGGGTGCTATAACCTTCCTCATATGTAACTGAACTCTCGAACTATGTTATGGTCAGTAGACCCAAACCTATTCTTTAGGGAGCCTTAGTCAAGCTTAAGAGCTCCTTAAAAGGATAGATTCCTTAAGTGACCAATCACACATAAATAAAAAAGATTGGTGACACTCCATTAATTTGATAAGTCTAGCTATAGATTTACAGATCTATATATTATGACATTAGTTATTTCTTTTATTTGTAGGAAACATCAAACCACTCTTAGAATTTCAAAAAAAAGCCTCATCCATGTTATGGGGGTATTATTTACCTTTTGTACTTATATTTATACTTGCCTACATATTGAGAACAATATGCATTTTTAAGTTTGGGGGTTGGAAAATATAAGCCAAAATTTTAAAAATTTTCAAGGATTTTAAAAAATTTGAAGGACTTGTGCTTAATTGATTTTTGCTATAAGTCATTAGTATGCTTCTTTTGGTTTATTATCATTGATCATTTGATAGAAACCATGATTGACTTTGATTATAGCTTTTGGAAAAGAATATACTTTTGAAGCATGAGATGAATTTTAGAATTTGTTGATATTTGATTGCAAGCTTTCACTTGTGAGAATATGTTTCAATTATTGAATTGTATGTCATTTAGTGATTGTTCATGTGATCATAGGATTTGCATTTCACTTTTTGAAGTTGTACCTATGTTCTAAAATTTAGTTGATATTTCTTGAGGTAAAAATCTACGCTACACTGAATTAGAGAAATGACTTAGGCCATCCTTGAATCAATTGAGCCTTTCAAGCCAATCTTAATGCATATATCCATAGTCACCCCTTATGAGTCTTCTATTACATTTTCTTTGTTAAGCACTCGTATCAATAAACTTAGACCATATCTTGCATTTTTATCCTTCTTGTCCCTACTTTATATGCATAAGAATCATTCATGACATGATTAGAAAGCTATGTCAATAAAAAAAAAAAAATGTTCTTCAACATTAGACGAGGCAAGTAAAATCCTATCCACATTAAGATTTTTTTTCACTTTTTTAGAAAGCCTTAAAAGTATGTAATTATTGACTTTATCAACCACTTTTTAGTAGTTGATGATAATATATTTCGATATTTAAATACAATAGATTATTAAATGAATTTATCTAATTAGGATATGTATAATCAATAATCCACCTTATTGAATTATTCCCATGTGGAATTAGAAACTCTTGCAAAATATTAATTCATGTTGAATCTTCACATTCATTTGGTCAAACTAAAGGCAACCTGCCATCACCCAAGTTTAATAACCATTGGCTAAGCAATCTCATATTAATAGAAAGAGTAAATAAATGATAATGGTCCAAAATTTTAAACCTAGAAATTATACTAGCCATAATGTCACTCTTGCTACTTTAAGGAATCACTGGCAATATTTGTCTAAAATCATTTCCTAATATCATATATTTTCCCTTAAAAATCTTTTGTTCAAAATTGGGTTCCTCAAAATGCATAGTATCTTGTAACATATGATCAATAACTTCAAATGCATGTCTGTGTGTTAATGGAGCTTTATCCCATATGATCAAAATTGCCTTGCAAAGTTATTTGGCAAGTGGATTGTGTTGCTTAACATCACAGCATGAATCTTTGTCTACTTTTATAGGTATTTTAAATCTAGAGTGTGATGTTCTTCTTTTAGGCAACGATAAAGCAATAATTCTTGAATATGGAACTACAATAATGATATTACCTTAAGATCGAATTGCATAAATAGTTGTTCTTCATAAAAATGTTTTTTCAGTACTTGCATTTCTATAAACAAAAAAAGTCACCAATAATATTTTCCATAAAACAAACAAGTACATTGTAAACAACTTTATTATCATTGTTGGGCTCATCGTCATATACGTCATCATGATACTAAAATAATGCATCTCTATCATAATTCATTTCCTCCAAAACTAAGGAATTGTGTACATAAACTACTAACACTAAATTTGGTAAGGAAAAGTCTTAAACACCCTCAATGTTCTTCCATTTTGGTTCATCATCTTTTCAATCTCAAATAAAGTATAGTTTTGCAATTGTTCAAGAGTCAAATTTAGGTCCAGTTGTCTATATGTCTTCTTTATCGATATAAAATATCCTCAAATAGCAATTCCCAAATCTTGTTCCATAACTTAGTCTATTCTGTAACTTCACAAGATAAAAAGAATATTGACAAATTGATCACGTAATTAATGTTCAATACCCCATAAAGATGCTTCACTTAACATTTCATGCCACTTATAATCACTTTCAAGCAATCCCAACACTTTATAGATATCTTTATAAGTCAAATAAATAATCTCATCAACTATCATTATATCTTCGAAAGATTTAGCGCTCTTTATGACATTACGTAATATCCTTAGAAAATATTTCTCACTAGAAGATAAATGAGCATAATATAATCTACTGACAGACTATATCAAAATGATAAAAAATAAGTCTTATCCAATCATCTATTGCAGATTAATTTTAATTAAATTTGAATTTTAAAATCATCTTATTTGATTCAAATTTTATTGTACCTTTTGCACTATACTTAAGTTTATTCTAATCTTAGGATAGTTTTAATGTTTTCTTTTTTCTATTCATAAAAGAATTAAGCATTAAAATGAAGAATTTTAGCCCCAACTGTCTACTCATCTATTCAAGGGTGACTTCTCTTTGCAACTTTGACGTATTATCTCCATAACTAAAGAATTAGTATCAACGATTCAATTCTTAGAATTTTTTTGACTTCACATTACCTTCCTTGCTCAATTTTTTTTCAAAACTTAATATCCAATCAAAACTAAATATAATTGAGTAGTATTTCTTAAAAATTCAATATAAAACAACTAAGTATATATGCTAGTATAGTAAAAAATTAATGATAATAAAAAATTAATCTTTGAATAGATAAATTAGATTTGTAAGTATCAATTACTTTTTTATTCATAAAAGATTAATATTATACTATTTGACACATTAATTTATATTTTTCTGTTAATTACTTCATTTTGTGGTCTAAATGCACCTTTGTTAAACTTAAATGTGATAGTTAATAAATTCATAAGATACTTTATTTAAAATATAAATTAGTATTTGCTTGAAGAAATTCAAAAAGTAAGAAACTTCATTTTTTTCAATAATGTCTTTTGTTTTGTTTTAAATAATACGATTTAAATTTTTTAAAAAATTATAAATTAATTTAATAAAATTTATATTTATATTTATATTTTTATATTAATATAAATTATGATATATAATTTTTATATAAAATATAATAAAAATATAATATTTTATATGATGCATGATATAAATTACCATATGTATGTAGAATGAAAATGGTAGTGTTGTTCGCACCATATACCTTCTCCTCATTCTCCTTCAAATTTAGTATGCAGTTAGGAGCTGGGTTGTCAACAGCACCAAATTCCAGGTCCACTTGCTGGCTTCTTCGCTCTCCTTCGAGCTTCAAAGAGGAAAGTGAAAAGTAAAGGAAAAAAAATCTAAAGAAAAGGGAGTGAAAAGCTGAATAGCTTCAATGTCGTCCGTACTCAACACAGTTTCTTCCTTAAGGCTATCCAGAATCTACAGAATCAACAGCAATAACAACAACAACAACAATCACCTCCGAATCCCAATTCACTCCGTTTTAAATCCTCCTTCTGTCTCTTTCACCCGTGAGTTGACTCGCTCCTGTTCTATTTTTCTCGTCAAGAAACTGGAAGGAAAATTGATTTGAATTTTAGTATCTTTAAGCAATAGTTAATTTTGAGCTCTTATCCTTTCAATATTTCATTTGCCTTGCATTTCCTATCCTCGATAAAAATGAATTTCTAAACTAGTTTTTCGTGCTTAATCAATTTGATTTTTCGCTTTTCTCATTTCCAATATTGTACAAATTTTTGTCTATTTCAGGACGGAGGTTGACTGTGAGAGCGGCGGATACTGATACTAATGAGGGTTTTTTTTTTAGCCTTCGAAAAATTTTAATTACATAAACTTTTAACGTTTAATTTTTTTTTTATGCTGGATTATAAACTTTTTTCAATTAACGTTTATTTTCTTTATGGTGGATTATATATTTGTGTTTATTTTGGTAGTAAAATCTAAGGCACCGGACAAGGCACCTGCGAGTGGTGGGTCAAGCTTCAACCAACTTCTTGGTATCAAAGGAGCTGCTCAAGAAACTGTAATTCTTCTATATACAGATCTATTTTCAACTTTTTTTTTCCTATTGGTACTCTCAAATTAAAATTTTTTATTATTACTGCTCCAATTATAGTCTAGAAATGCAATTGGAATCTAAATGTCAACTTAAAGAAAAAATTGAGTTCTTAGTTGCAGGGCAGCTGCCTACATCTTTTGAGGATAAAATTATTGCATTTAATGCATTGGTCATACACATACTTAAGTCCAATTTTCCTCTAATACATCATTCATCTAGTGTGGCCAGTGACTAGCTGAAGCTTGCAGTTGGCATGAAAGTCGATTGTTTACCCATTTTAGACAGAGCCAGAGGGAAGGGAAATGCTTATTGGGAAAATTTGCTCCTGTTTCTTTGACTGCTCAAATGATTAACCTAATAGCGTTACTTCTCTAGAAATGTGTGAAGCTGTGCTACCTATATCCGAACTATTATTTGACTTGGTGTTTTATATGATGCAGGATAAATGGAAGATTCGTCTTCAACTTACAAAGCCAGTTACTTGGCCTCCATTGGTATGGGGAGTAGTTTGTGGAGCTGCTGCTTCAGGTACTCTCTAGTCTCTAACACGATTTGTTCACATCTACTGTTGGGACAATACCCTTTTATTTATGCATATAAGAATTAAACTACATGAGAAATCGTGTGGAATTTTAGTGATATTTAGATATCTGGTATCTGGACCTTTACAAATTGGTGAATGTTAGTCGTGTCAATCGCTTTCTTTTATGAATTTATTTGTGTCCCTGAACTCAATTAGAAATTGCACGAAAGATTTTGAGGAGTAACTAGAGGACCACCTGAAACAATTCTATAAATTTCAGGGAACTTCCACTGGAATCCAGAGGATGTTGCCAAATCAATTCTTTGCATGATAATGTCAGGTCCGTGTCTGACAGGCTATACTCAGGTATAAACCCTTATCAATAAAGGTATGTGTTGATTTTTAAATGAAAAAGAGCTTCAACGTGAATAATGCAAATTTTTCTGGCTATTTTACCTTTCCAGACTCTCAACGACTGGTATGATAGAGAGATTGATGCAATTAATGAGCCTTATCGTCCAATCCCTTCAGGGGCAATCTCTGAGAAAGAGGTGTGTGTCGTAACTACTTGTGTTATGTGCATGTTAGAATTGATATTCATTAAAAACTTAAAGCAGGTAATTAGCCAAATCTGGTTGCTACTCTTAGGAGGCCTTGGCATAGCTGCTGTACTAGACGTTTGGGTACGTAATTTCAAATAGTTGTTTCATGCTTTTCCTAAAAGATATACAAAGATGGAAGCAGTTCTAATCTGTCTTTATAGGCAGGGCATGACTTCCCTATTGTATTTTACCTTGCGTTGGGAGGATCCTTGCTATCATACATATACTCTGCTCCTCCTTTAAAGGTGGTTCACTTGCATGCTGTCATGATGATCAATCTACTTTCCTTTTCTTGTGGAAGAAAATCTGGTTAGACCTAACTAAATTTCAAATATTTTGCAGTTGAAACAAAATGGCTGGATTGGAAATTTTGCTCTTGGAGCAAGCTATATCAGTTTGCCCTGGTGTGATACCATCTATTTTGCTGCATTTTGGAGTATAGTTCAAGATATGCTTTGTAAATACTCTAGGGCTTGTTAAGATTGATTGTAATCTGACAAATAGTGGTTATTCTTAATAATGTGAGAATTGAAGGGCCTATAATACATTACATGTAACAAATTGCCAACAATTGGTAGTCCTCCTTTTTCCCATTATCATTGTGAAACCTTTGCTAGTTTCCCACACGCACAGATCATCCTATTGCAACATAAATTGGACTGCCATCTATTCACCTATCCTGGTTCCTTTTCCATTGATTGAAATACCCTTAGGAGGGCAAGTCTAGCAGATTCTGACACTTACATAGAATAGTCTCAAACGTTGATAATTATGAGACTATACAAAATGATTTTGCTTATTTCTTTATTTGGTTAAGTCCTGAAGTATTTGACCTATATTCTGGACTTTAACTTTGTTGTCTGACAAGCTCGGTTTGAAAATTTGTTTATAGGTGGGCTGGTCAAGCTTTGTTTGGGACCCTTACACCAGACATAATTGTTCTCACACTCTTGTACAGCATAGCTGGGGTATGTTTTTTCCAGCATGTCTCATTCTTGTTTATGCTAGAGGTACATGATTTAACTTGTAACAATTTGTTTTTGCTGTATCACTTTGCAGTTGGGGATTGCCATTGTTAATGACTTCAAAAGTATCGAAGGAGACAAAGCTCTAGGATTACTGGTCTTCTCTCTTTATTATTATTATTATTATTATTAGCTTAAACCTTCAGACTATAATGAGTTCTGCAAACTCTTTGCTTTCTTTGGATATATCATTTGCATTATCCTTGTAAGAACCGGGCTTGACAGTTGTATGATATGATGTTTGAGCAGTCAATTCCTGTAGCCTTTGGTGCTGAAACAGCTAAATGGATTTGTGTCGGTGCTATTGACATAACTCAAATATCTGTTGCTGGTAAGTCACTGGAATTTATATCAGTAACTGATGGATTAGGAAATTCAATGCATCTTTCTTCTTGAAAATTAACAGCTCACTGCTTATATAATGGTGGTTGCAGGTTATCTTCTAGGGGCTGGTAAGCCATATTATGCGCTCGCCCTACTTGCTTTGATAATTCCACAAGTTGTGTTTCAGGTAGAACAGTTTCTTGATACATTGTAGAAACCACAGCCTCTTTCTTCTTACCTTCTAAGAGATTAATGCTCATAACCAATATCTGTGCACTGCAGTTCCAATACTTCCTAAAGGATCCTGTCAAATACGACGTTAAGTATCAGGTAAATTTTCTTAAGACAAGTCCGTTGCTCACTGACTAGAACAGAGGAAAGAATTTTACTGTAATTATGGCCATAATTAATGAGCAATATGAACCACCTTCCGCCCATGAATGTTTGTAATATTTGTGTTTCACGTTCTTACAATCTCACATGGAGTAACTCTTGGTCTGCAAATAAGGATACCTATGTCTCAATAAGTCTACCAATCTCACCCTTGGAGCCTAACTGGAGTCTGGATTTATGTCTGGTATTTCATTCCCTAAAGTAGTGCCAATATCAAGAATAGGGTATTTTGGAGTAATGGGCTAGTGAGGAATCATATCGTTCTTGCTTCTGACCTTCTCTTGTTTTATATCGAATGTTTAAGTCTTGTTCTTGTGTTTCAGGCAAGTGCACAGCCATTTCTGGTGCTTGGTTTGCTGGTGACTGCTTTAGCAACGAGCCACTGATGAAATGTAACTGCTGTACCAGACGACAAGAGATGAGAGATCAAAGCGAGTTGATGTGCAGTGTAGATTGTGAAAGGCGAAAAAAGCTACCGAATGAAGCAGCTCTCAAATATAGTATCTAAATTATGTGAGCTTCCGCGCGTCCAGTGGTTTCTTTTTCTTCCACAACTGCCAATTTTTCTCTATTTCATTGTAGTTTTTGCCTTCTGCCTTCTCTGCTTTTTCCCTCTTTTTCTTGTGTAGTCTCTTTTAAAGTGTTACAAAAAGGCATAATATAGTTGCTACTAATGGCAATGAAGCTTTTGTTTTGTTCACTTGTGTGCTTTGTGGAAATTGTATGGTTTTTGGTTCTGCAATCTCCACAGAGCATTATTTTGCGGTGGAATCGACCCTATTTCCCATGTTAAAAAGCATGAAACTTCAACCTCATTGGGGAGACTTTTTAAAAAATCAACCTTTCGGAATTCAGAAATCTCTACTTTTACTCGAAAATACTAAGGCTAATTTTCAGATTGAATTTTCCTCTCAAGATTCATTCGTGCCACTACCCTTACAACCATCTCCCAAACGATTCTAAAGCATGCTAGTGTGACGGGATGTAAAAATATTACGCTTCATTTAAAGCAAAAACATTCAGCATATCAACCAAAAAAATAGTTCATTCCACTGTAAAAAGCATACAGAAAAGAGAGGCACCTGGCCATGCCACTCGACCACTAGAACCAAATGAAAAGCTTACGAAACATACAGGGCAAAAAAATAACAGAAATACTAGACGATATTGACAATAGCAAAACTAGAGTACTACAAGACCACTAGGACTCGACACCGGCAAACAGAGCCCGCAGGAGAGACTTATGGGCTGCAGCTCGTTGTTCTGTACTTGGACTCGTCAATGTCGATACCTACCTCAGCAGCACGCCCACCCCCTTAGTTGTCCTTGGTGCTGAGTTCACCTTTTCGGCCTATTGCCTGGTACCCTTCTCTCCGCAGTTGCTCCTTCCTTGTCTGACCTCCACGGCTCCTCCCTAAATCACCATCAACAAAAAATATAAAACCCAAGCGCCAAATGAATAGTTCAATATAAAAATGGACGCATTGAATAGAGAAGGACAGAGAAAGGTGTTATGGTACAGCAAGGTGCTCTTAAGTCTTAAGCTTCGAGGCTCCTGCCACCAGTTCCACCAGGTACAACAGTCTCTCCCTGCCTTGCCCTAGCGTCAAGTTCCTCTCTTTCCTGTTGCAAGGCCATTATCACTTTCATTGATCTTCTGGGTGCTGCTTTGCCCCTTTCTTTAACACAGCTTGGAACTTGGCACAAGCTTTCTCGAGGTGAATTCCCGAAACAGTGCATACAAACTGGGTATTGCTCATATAAAATGTAGAATTGAATAGTGATTTACATAGAGGCAAGCCATGAAGTTTACCGATCAACGAAGGCAGAACACGGTCAACGAAGGCAGAACACGTAAAGGAGTAGACGCGGCGAACGAGGAGCAATGAAGCCATGTTCCAATGACACGCAGGTGCTTAGTCTGTCAAAACAAATTTTGGATGCAAAGCCAATTAACACGAGTCCGAGGCTTGCGGTAGTAAAATTATTACTACCAATTTTTTTGGGTTTCCAACCCTCATTTCAAGAAAGAAAAAGAAGAAACTTTCTCATGTTCTATAGATGATTACTTTAAAACTAAAAATGTATGTTTCTATTTTAATGTCATCGCATGCACAACCTCTATTGGAGACAAGCGTTTTATGCTTCATTTGAAGGCTGCGGTTAAGCCTTCAGCTCTATTGGAGAATATAGGATGCAGAGAATAGGCTCGCAAAATGGGCTCGTTATATCATATATGGGCATGTTGGATCCTTGCAACAGCGGTCAGCAGCTTACCTTACATATGGTTTGTTCCCAATTTCCCAAAACATAACAAAATAGTAACACTACTTCACTGTTTATTCAGTCTATTTAATTTCATTGAATTATGTGTTTCTAATTTTTTTGACACTCAATGAGAAGGAAAAAAAAATACGTATTTGTAAATACGTATAATACGCTAGACATGCTCAACGAATATGTTGACTATCAGATAAAGGGCATGCAAGTTTTAAAACATGATAAATGAATAGCTAGGACTAACAGTTTTTAACCTATCATTGACATATATTTTTTCGTAAACTAAAACTTATTCCAACATAAATACATCATACAAGAGACCAACTAGGTTTTTGCCTAATATCATTTACTTATTTTGAAATTTTTTATATTTGAAATTGTTGTTGAAATGTGATAATTGAAATTCAAATTTTAATATTTTTACTGGTAAATGACACATATGTGGGCCACTAATTTTGTTTCAGAAGGGAAATAATAAATATTACTCCTTTCATCCCAAAATATTTGTCATGGATTGAAAAAAAATAGGACATAATTTTAGAACATTCCAAAATGAAAAGATGAACAGATAAAATGGGATCGAGGGAATAGTAGACTAGTGTGAAAGTAAACCGATTCGCTTAAGCTTAATGGTTAGAAATTTTAGTTTCCATGTATTAATTTTTGAATTTAGTAAACTTTATTTTATATTACAAAAACTAATTCGTGACATGTGCGATACATATTATTTTACTTATTTAAAATGTGTTTACATCACAAATTTTACCGTTATTCTAAGTTTTTAAAATTTATGATATATATAAAATATAAATATATATTCAATTAACATATCACAAGAAGATTAAACTTTATTATTATTATCTTAATCAAAATGCTAAAAATAAATGTGAAAAAAATAAGAGATATTACACATGAATAAAAAAGTTAAAAATAATTAAATATACACTACAAGAAAAATAGCTTTTACTGACAAAAAATTTCATCGATAAAAGTTTTTTTTTGTCAATAGTTGCAATAACGACAGATCTAGCAACGAAAAAATGTCATCAATGCTAGCTAAGTCAACAATACTATTCCGTTGGTAATAAATAAAATTCATCAGTAATTATCTATGAAATTTTCGTCAATAAATTTTATTAATAATTATCGATAGAATTTTTATCAATAATTATCAATAGTAAAGTATATCGATAATCCTTCAGTAATATTTATTTTTCAATTATATTTAATATATTTTATTTATAATTTTTGTCATTTTATTTTAGTTTTTTAATTTATTTTTAAAGTAATTACATGAATACTAAATATACAAAAATAAAAATAAATAAATAAACTAAATGCTCCATTTTATTTATAAAAAGAATGTAAAATATTTTACAAAATTATTTATGAATTCTATTAAATAAAAGTACAAAAAAATCCAATTTGAGCATTAGGTAATATTTAAGTCCCAAACAATTAGTCTTCATAGATATTGATGTTCATCTCACAATCTCAAGAGGCACCTACGAAGCTCTTCTTCAGTATGAAAATCAAAGACATGGACCCACATCTCTTCTCTTCCAGCAATGCATTTATTGCCATGCTTTGGTTCCGATGAAGCTGATTCCACATTGCATGGCATGTTGTAATTAACTTTTCGCCAATGCAAAACTAATAAGGTCAAATACAAATGTCAGCAGCCATTGGCAAAAGAATAAAGTTTACACAAGCTGTCTAACTAGAGACTTACTGATTTGCATCCTAAAACTTAACAGTAAATCCATCGGCAGTAATTATATAACTACCATCCTAACTCACTTCAGCACTGGTTATAGGTGATTTGATCTTAAATGTTTGAACAATTTTCCACTTTTTACGTCCCACAACCTACACACAAACAAGGTTTAGGAAGTCATATAGACAACCATACAATCATGTAAAATCATTGCTTCAGTGATAAAGACACAGCATGGATGTTTTAACCACAAAATTTTTTTATTTAATTTTTAATAAACCAATGTATCTAAGGTTTGAGAATGCACCGAAACATCCAACATGGAAGACATGATTTTCAATATATAAATGGAATACTTTACCAATAACCTAAGCTCAAATGTCTCACTTTTTCTTTACTTTCCTAAATTCCATCAAGTATCTAAGAAAGCTTAGAAACTCCCACACGACACGATACTAAAAAAATCTATAAAGTCATCCACCAAATGTTGGCACTAGCATTATCTTCACCCAAGTAAAATGAACCCAAGAAATGTTTTATCACAAGTATGCTTAACGTGCAAAATGCCCTAAAACTTCCTTGCTTGACTTTTAAACTTAAGAAACAATATGCATCCATTACACAAGCACAGAATAGTCTACCTATTAGACATTTCTATCTCAAAATCCTCAAGTGACACACACTAATTCAAAACATATATGATACTTGTGACAAATGAAATATCTTATGGCAACCAATTGTAGAAAAAAAAAAAGTAAAGGTGCTATCAGTTGAACACAGTCATACCTAACCCATTAGTATCAGCACCAAAACTTAAGATCGTCTGCTTGTTGTGGAGCCATGCAACAGTTGTAATTGAACCAGAAGAATTTTCCACTTGTCTTGGAGGTGCATCTAGACGATTCAAATCAAATATTCAAAGAATTTTCTCAACTCCACCAATGTGTAGAAGGTGTGTATCTTATACAAACATAAATTATTTAATTTCTATAATTATTAATAAAATTTAAAAAATATTAAATATAAAACATCCTTCAAAACATATATAAATCTTAATACACATTGAACCCAAATTAACCAACATAAATCTTACACATCTAAAAATTAATAAATTTATTAAAAAATCCAACAAATCTCAACAATACTCTACAAATAAAAAAATTTACTCAACAATACTTTAAAAAACCTAAAAAAATTAACAATGCTCATCATTAATACTAAAAAAAATCCAACAAAAATAAACTAAAAGTTTAACCAAACAAAAAGTCAACAAATATATAACCAAAAACCCAACAAATCTCAACGTATTTGTAACAAAAAAAATTAAACAATAAACTCAACAAAAATCTTGAAAAAGGAATATTTAAGTAATAAACATTACCCATCGACGGAGGGGAGTTCAGTACCCCATGATGGAACACGATGGGGAAAGGGGAGACGATGGAGAGAAAGGGAGAGAGGGGTTAGGGATTTGAAGGAGGGATTTGGGGTTTTTTTTGTTTATCCGATTTTGGGAAAGAAAGATTCAAATTAAATCATGTTTTTCTTACGGAAATTTAGTCGATATTGTGTAACTTTTTTTTTTTTTGGAAATTTTTTTACCCACAAAAAATTTCCATTAGTTATCAGTTGAGATTTAATTGAAGTAATTAATTAAATTTATCAATAAATTTTATCAATAAATTATTGATATTTTATTAATAAATATTAATTTTTTTAATATAATTAGTAAGTAATTATCGATAAAAAAATTTCATTGATAAAAATTTGTCGATGATGGCTTTTATTTTGATAATTATAAACATAATATTGATTGTTTAGAAGAATATAAAAATATGATATTAAATGATTAATTAAATAACAAAAAAAGTATTGACATATCATTATTAAATTATGATTTTGATCAAAATATTAAAAAAATATCAATTAAGATATATGTGACAAAAAAAGTAATGGAATAAAAATAACGTCAAAAGAAGCATTTGTCCAAGTAAAATAAATAACAAAATCACAAAAGTAATATAAATCTTTAAAAAAAATTAAATATTTAGAAAAATAACGTAGCACATATTATTAATAGGCTTAAAGTGATATGTATTTTTTAAATTTAAAAATAAACTAATAATAAGGTCTCTGAAATTGAAAATGATAGAAAAGATATGTGTGATTTTAAATTTAAAGAGAATTTTCTTTTTGTTTTTAATTAGTTTTTTGTACATTTATAGTGAAAACATCGTAATTTAATTTGTTTAAATTTAGCATTATTTTAATTAAAAATTAATTACTTGGTTAATGATTTTTTTTGTATAGTATTATTTTTTTATTTATGTAATATCGATCTAATCTTACACCAAAATTTCAATTCACCATCTATAAAAAAAAATATATTTTCACCTATTTATTCTTTTTTTTCTTAAGGAATTAATTACCATTATTCTATATACATCATAGGACATATGAAACATTGAAAAAATATTATTGTAATACAAATAAAAAATAACTATAAGTATTATATGTTGAGATGAACCCATCGTCTTATTTAACTTATTAAAGAAAATTTTTTTTATAACACTTTACTTAAATTTATACACCAAAAAATAATATAAAGTGAAAGTTATTTATATTTTTATTTATATGATGAAATTATAACGATACATAGCTAATGCATGCATTTAGTTTTACTGACTATTACAAAAAAATCAATTAATTTATGATGAAAATATTAAAAACATATAGTACAAATCTAATAATAAAAACGCAATATCTAAACACATCTACCCATAATAATAATAATAATAAATGAAGTCCATAATTTTAAAATTGTTTTACAACATATTTACATAATTTAAATGTAAAATAAAGAATATGTATATGTTCCATAAAAAAATGTTCAGATTAATTTTAAATAAATTTTTAATTTTTTTCATTGGAATAAGCACAATAACTTTATTTTATTTAAATGAAGATAAAAATTATAAATTATTTAACATAAAATGATTTGAATAAATCTAATTTTTAAAGATTTGATACATTTTTTAAATTTAAATAACAAGTTCATTTGGTAGACAACTATAAATAAAAAAATTATTTTATGTATCAATAGTATATGTTATCCATTTAAAATTAAACGTAAATAAATCTTACCAAATAATCATATACCTTATAATATAATATTATATAAATTAAACATATATTTAAGTGACGGGATCCTATAAAAAACAAAAAAAAAAAGGTGTTTTTACAATTGAATTTTGAAAAAGGAGGGGGGCATTAGAATAAATAATTGGAAGGTGTGTTTAAACAGTTGGCACTCTTAGGCTCCATTTAGATTTGCTCACAGTATCAGTGCAATGAGAATTTTTGTCTTTTTGGTGCAATTGCGTTATTTTATTGTGTTGAGATATCTAACGGTGATTCAGCTCTTTAACTGCATTTAGGATGTTTATTTAATCAATTTGGTTAATTTCAAATTGATTTAATTAAATTATATATTTTTATTTTTGTTAATCAAATCAAATTTATTAATTTTAAAAATTAATCAATCGAATTAATTAAATTTATTAATTTGACCAATTAGTTAAATTTTTTAATTAACTGAATAATAAATATATTTAAATTAAATTATTTTTAAAAATTTTTAATTTCTTCTATTTTAAATAAACTAAATAAAATTATTTAATAAAATATTCAAATATCAAAGTATCAAGTTAAAAATTCTAACAATTTATGAAATAAAATAATCTATTTCATATATTTTTTATTTTATATTTGAATTTTGTTATATTTTGATTAAAACTTTTGTTAATTCGATTTTGAAATCAAATTAATTAAAAATCAAAATTTTTTAAAAATTATTTTTATTAATCGATTGAAATTAATTTGATGATTGATTAATTATTTAATTTAATTGATTAATTCAATTAAAATCAAATTATGAACACTCATAATTACACTAAAAAAATAATTCACAATTTGTGGTCCACAGAGCCACTAAGATAGACCATTTACTATAATACCATTATTTATTATTTATTTTGCATTTATATTTAAATTATTTTATATTTTATATTTTACTTGTCTAATATTATTTTATTAAGTTTTAATTTATGTAAATATATTATTATTAATTTTTTAAAAAAATATCTTATTTGTCATAAAAATAATTTTAAATCTTTTATTAAAGTCATAAATGTTAAATAATTTAAAATATTTATATATAAAATTTAATTTAATGTCCTTAATAATTTTTTTTATTATAATTTACTTTATTATTATTACTGTATTTATATCTAAACATATATATCACTAGAAATTTCAATATTACTGTCACAATAATTAATCTTATCACTATTGTTACTTTTAATTTCATAAAAATTAATTTTACAATGAATCACACTTACCTTTATTTTACTACACTAAATAGAGGTGTTCATTTAGTTGGTTTAACTAATTTGAATTGAATTATCTAAAATTAAATTAATCGAATTATATTATTTGTTTTTTGTTAATAAAAAAATTATTAATTTAAAAAATTAATTGATTGAATTTAATTTAGTTAATTAAATTAATTTTTTAATTAATCAAATAGTAAAATATTTAAGTTAAATTATATTTTAAAATTTTAATTTCTCATATTTTAAATAAATTAATTTTATTTATTCAATAAATATTCAAATATCAAAATATTATATTAAAAACTCTAACAATTTATAAATTAAAGTGATCAATTTTATGCATTTTTTATTTTATAATTGATTGAATTATATTATATTTTAATTAAAATTTTAATTAATTTAATTTTTAAATTAAATTAATGAAAAATTAAAAAAATTTTAAAATTATTTTTATTAATTAATTTAAATTAATTTAATAATCGATTAATTAATCGAATTAAATAATTTAATTAATTACTTCAATTAAATCTCAATTACGAACACTCGTTACACCAAACCGAGCAAAACAAAACCCTACCGCATGACGTGACCGTAAGACAAAATTTTCATATATAAGCAAACGCTGCCGTAAGGACTGTAGCCCTAACTCCCTTGCTTAAGTCAACAGCCTCAGCCTCCCTTTCTTTGGCTTTTTGCATTTATTTTTATTTTATTTATATTTTATACGCTCTCTCTTCTCATCTCCTGTCACTTCTCCAAAACCCTAGTTCCCTCACTGCCGCCAATTTCAACCAGTAAGTTCCTTTATATCTTAATCTCAATTTTCCCTTTCCATTTATTACAGCTGATTTTCGGATATCGATTTTCTGCCTTTTTTTGCGGGAATTAAATAGAATTTTGATAAGATTCGAAAACTATGTCGGACGACGAGAGAGAGGAGAAGGAGTTGGATCTCACCTCCCCTGAAGTTGTTACTAAATACAAGGGTGCTGCTGAGATCGTCAACAGTTAATCTCTTCTCTTTTTATTTACGTAAAAATTTAGCTTATTGGAAATGGGTTTTGCATTTAATTTGAATTTAATTTTTTTGGCTTTTTTTTGTTTTTATTTTTTTGTTATCTTTGAAAATTTGCAGAGGCGTTACAGTCAGTTGTAAAAGAATGCAAACCGAAAGCTAAGATTGTTGACATTTGTGAGAAGGGTGATGCATTTATAAGAGAGTAAGCTTTTAGTTACTTCTGGTTTGATAAGTTTTTTTACAAGTTTGACAATTGATAATGAAGTTATTAATTTATAGTTTATTGTTTTTGTTTATGTAATGTTAAGGCAAACAGGCAACATGTACAAGAACGTTAAGAGGAAGATAGAGAGGGGTATTGCCTTCCCTACTTGCCTTTCTGTGAACAACACTGTCTGTCATTTCTCTCCACTTGCCAGCGACACGTCGGAGTTGCAAGAAGGTGATATGGTCAAGATGTAAGCTTCATATAGCATTTCTGTTTTTTCATGTGTTTGTGGAGATTTCCTGCTTGGTGTGGCAACTGAATTGGGTTTTTTTTCTGGATGCAGTGATATGGGTTGCCACATTGATGGGTTTATTGCTGTAGTTGCACATACTCATGTTGTTCAGGATAGGCCAGTCACTGGCAGGCAGGCTGATGTTGTTGCTGCTGCAAATACTGCCGCTGAAGTGGCCTTGCGGCTTGTCAGGCCTGGAAAAAAGGTAATTGTTTCATATATCAGTGCTATTACATTCTGTGTTATCCTTTTATGTTCTTTGAATGTTTCTTAAGCTATTGTGCTTTTGCTATCTCAAAATTCTTGAGCCAAACTTTTGATTTTCAATTTAATTAAGTGGTTGGTTTCTGAAAAGTGTAAAGACTGTGTTTTTCGGTTTTGACTTTCATTTGATCCCCTAAATGATGAACTTTTTTATTTGCTATGGATCTACATCCAAATGAAGCTTTTTGTCATAGTTACTCTGATAGGGGAATTTATCTCTCAACTCAGTTTTTGCAACATTTTTTCTTGTGGTTACTCATTACCCTTTTGATTTAATTCTTGGAACCAATTGTAAGATGTAGAACAGAAATTTGAAGGCCAGGCAACTTTGCCAAGGTGATCAATTTCTTGTTGATCTCCTCTTTTCCCTGTTGCCAATATTATCTTTGGTCATGTTAGGCTGCCTTGGGGTGATACATCTTTTATTGGTTTATACCAGTTGCCTATGGGATCAACATTTTCTTTAAAGACTACCTTAAAAGTGGGTGTTACCCTCATGATTGTTTTTGTCAAACCATTGATAAATTCTGTTTAAGTAAATGGATGTGTACTGCTCTACTTTATTTATCACTGTTGCAAAGCTTTTCTTGTTTTTATCCACAAATTCATTTTAATTACTCTGGTGGCAGTTTGCTGCTTTAAACTTTGGCTTTTTCCTTTTGGTGGTTGGGGGAGGTTTGCTTCATGGTTCACATGATTTCTACATGATGAATCTTGGGCTATGGATTTGGTTCCAATGTGGCATCTTTTAGTCATTGTTGTACTGATAGAGTGTCATTTATTTCTTCGTGCCTCACTCTAACCTCCAAGTCAAACACCCAACCCACCTTTTATAGTGGAAAGCATATTCAAACTAGTTCCATGGCTTTCCATTTAGTACTTGTAAAATCTATCTAGTATAGTTTGATGTTTTCAAAATGTTCTCAGATCCTAGTTTCCCTATGTGATGAATAGTTTTCAAAAGCTATGGACCAACATCCAAGTGTGGCTTTTGTCATAGTTACTCTGATGGGGGAAACATTAATGATTCTGTCCTTTTGAACAGACCGCTTGTGGACTGCTTTTCTGATGAATGCATTACTAGTTTCCTTAGTAATTTATTTTGTTTAAAACTTGCTTCATCACTTATTTAATTGATATTCTTCATTGTACTTAGTTTCTTTTCATTATTGTTTTAATGGCAGAATAAAGATGTAACAGATGCAATTCAGAAGGTAGCTGCAGCTTATGACTGCAAAATTGTTGAAGGTGTTCTTAGCCATCAACTGAAGCAGTTTGTGATAGATGGAAACAAAGTTATACTAAGCATCTCCAATCCAGATACAAGAGTTGATGATGCAGAGTTTGAGGAGAATGAAGTTTATGCTGTAGATATAGTCACAAGCACTGGAGAAGGCAAGGTAATTGTCTTTTCTTGTCATTTAACCTTGTTACTATACTTGTTTCATATTAATTTTGTTCTTAAGATTTCAATGTGTTGAAATTGCAGCCAAAGCTGTTGGATGAGAAACAGACAACGATTTATAAGAGAGCTGTTGACAAGAATTATCATTTAAAGATGAAGACCTCTAGATTTATTTTCAGCGAGATAAATCAGAGATTTCCCATCCTGCCGTTCACTGCTCGGTCTGTGATTGTTTTGCACTTGTTATGGGTATGCATTGGTGGTTATTTATGCTGCTTGACAGTTCATATGGATTTCCTCAAACAGGGCTTTGGAAGAGAAAAGAGCTCGTCTAGGTTTAGTTGAATGTGTGAATCATGATCTCTTGCAGCCATATCCTGTGCTTCATGAGAAGCCTGGTAAGAATTCATGGCTGAAATCTTGTTTAGAATAGAAGATGGTACATTGTAATGTTGTCACAACAAGCTTACAAATTCTGGACTATTTATAATTCTGCAGGTGATTATGTTGCTCATATCAAATTCACCGTATTGCTAATGCCAAATGGATCAGATCGGATCACATCCCATTCTCTGCAGGAGTTGCAGCCAACCAAGACAATAGATGATCCTGAAATCAAGTCCTGGTTAGCATTGGGAACAAAGACAAAGAAAAAAGGTGGTGGGAAGAAGAAGAAAGGTAATGATGTATATAAGGATAAACTAACTTGGTTTTAAGATTGGCTGGTCAAATATTTTGATATATTGGAAGCAAATATGTAGTAAACTAAAGTGTACATGTGTTGCAGGTAAGAAGGGTGATAAAGCTGAGGGTGAGCCCATGGATGCAACAAATGGTGGTGCATCTTAAGAAACATTGTAATTTTCTATTCTCCCCATATTTTTCAATTTTGGTAATGTGTTCACATATATATGGGTTGGTTATGAGTTAAATTTAATATAGTATGAGACATTGATCCTAACTGAGTTTTTTCGCATGGCCTCCTCGTGTATTGTTGTTAATAACTCATGGGCATGTGTTGGGTTAAATATGGTTGTTATTGGAGATTTATTTTTGAAAAAGCATATGGTAAACCCTTGTTTTGTGTAATGAATGGGTGGTTCCATGGATTTTTTTTTTTTTTAAGTGGGAGATTCCAAATAGGAAAAAAAAATTGCCAAATATAAATGTTCAATTCTTTTGGTAGAAGAGGTGGTGTCTTCAACATGTCGAATTAGAATGATATCTTCCCTTTGCTTTGCTTGTTCTTGCATGGAAAAACGGTATGAGGGCGTTTTTTTAATTAGTGGATTCTTATATCACTTGGATTTTGGAAAACAAAGTGATTTGGGAGGAAAACAATGTTTTTTAATTTTGTTTTTTTTAGAGAATGTAGGATTTTTGGATTTAGTTAGAGGAATGTAAGATTATTTAATAAAGTTTTGTATTTTAATGATGATATGTGATCCTTATAATGAATAAAAAAGTTATTTGTTTAAATTTTTATTTATTTAAAATATAAATTATTTATTTAATATTTTTGTTAAATTATTTAAGTGTTTTATTTAAAAAATTATTTATTTAAAATTTAAATTGTTATTTAATATTTTTGTTAAATTATTTAAGTAAAATTATTTTAGGTTTTATGATACATGTAATGCATGTAATAATAAAATTTTATCATAATATTTAATTTTTTAATATTTTTAATAAAGATCAGAATTTTTAATTTAAAAAATATTGCTTTCGTTAAAATTTAAAAATTTTAAAAATCCTTAGCTTAGTGGCAAATAAGTTTAAAAAAAAAAAACATTAGAACTTAGGTTCGAATAAGTTATTTGTTATTTTTTTCTTTTTTTGTATGTAGTAGGGTGTTATTTTTCTTTGAACAAAAAAAAAAAATTTAAATAGTTTTTTTCAAATTTTTTAAAATTTAAAATTTTCAAATTAAAGAAAGAGTGGATGGACTTCACCGTATTAGTAGTAACAAGTAAGATATCTGCACCAAGGACTTTCATAAAACATTATATAAAATATCAAAGCTTATAGTACTATACTTAACACAAAACGTACGAAAATCATATTAATTTGATCATACTCCAAAAATTAAAGAAAAAGGGAGAATACTGCCTGTGCCTATTCAGAAAAAGTTATTAAGTTGAAACAGTTGATTACTAATCTTCAAGGGAAGGAGGATAAAAGGTAATTACTGTAGAAAAAGTGAATAAGTTGAAACGGTTGATTACTTTCCCTCAAATTTAACGTCCCTTGAGGGATGTGTTTAGATGCAATGTTTGAAGGAGAGATTTTATTTTAATTAATGTTTTTTAAATTTAAAAATAAATTTACTTGTTTGGATAAAGATAATATAATTTTTAAATTTAAGTGAAATTCTAAGAAATAATTTTGGATGTTTGAATTTTCTTTTAAAATTTTATTTAAAGAAAAATAATCAAATATATTGATAGTGAAATTTTTTTATTATAAATTTTATGTAAAGAGAAATTATAATATGATGAGTATTTTCATAATTATGATAAAAGGGGCATTATAATAATTTTGACAAATGATAGTAGAATTATGTAACTGTAATAGTAAGGGCATTATATTCATTTTGACTAATTATAGTAAGAGAGGTAATTTAGTAAATATATTAAAATGAGTATTATAGTTATTTTAGTTAATCATAGAAAGATGAGTATTACAGTCAATTTGGTTGCATGAAATTTAATATTTAAGTAATTAAAAAGATATTATAATTATTTTTAAAAGTATTAATTTCATATTGTATAGTGTTAAAATTTAATGTGTAATTATGAAGCAATCCAAAGAGTATTTTTACAATGCTTAGAGGATATTATGATAATTTTGATCAATTAAAATATTATGGGTATTTTCGTAATTATTATAGGAGAGGCATTATATGGAACAATCAAAAAGGGTAGTTTTTATAATTTTGATTAGAGAGTATCATAATAATTTTAACTAATTATAATAGGAGGGGCATTATAGTCAGTTTAGATATGTCATTTAATTGTCAAGAAATTAGGACATAATGACAATTTACCAAATGGATCACTTTCAAATAATTATATGGATGTTAAAATATAGTACGTAATTATGAAGCAATAAATTGACATTTTCATAATTACGGCAAGAGAATATTATAATAATTTTGGTAAATTATAATATAAAAAAATATTTTTGTAATTATGATAGAAGAGGTATTATATTAATTTTGGCAAATGATGATAGGAGGGTATTTTCGTAATTGTGGTAGTAAAGGTGTTACATTCACTTTGATCAATTATGGTAAGAAGGTATTTTAATAAATATGTTAATATGAGTATTGTAGTCATTTTAGTTAATCATGGAAAGAGATGCACTACAATCAATTTGAATGTATGTAATTCAATTATTAAGTAATTAAAAGGACATTATGATTATTTATAAGGGTATTAACTTCATATTATTATATAGATGTTAAAATTTAATCCGTAATTATGAAGTAATTAAAAAGATAATTTTGTAATTATACTTTGAGGGTATTATAATAATTTTACCAATTATAATATGAGAAGTATTTTTGTAATTATGATAGGATAGGCATTATATGAATCAATCAAAAGAGCAATATTTTTAGTTGAAATTAGAGGATATCATAGTAATTTTAGCTAATTGTAATATGATGGGTATTTTTTTAATTATGATAAGAAGACATTCGTAACTATGGTTAGAGAGTATTATAATAATTTTGATAAATTATAATATGAAAAGTATTTTCATAATTAAGGTAAAAAGATATTTTTGTAATTATGATTATAAAGACATTATAATAACTCTAATCAATTATGGTAAGAAGTGTATTTTAATAATTAAGTTAAGAGAAAAATTATAGTAATTTTAATTAATTATAGAAGAAGGGTATTACAATTAATTTGGATACATGTAATTCAATTGTCAAGTTATTAAAACGTCATTATGATCGTTTTTAAGGGATATAATTTCATTTTATTGTATAGATGTTAAAAAAGTTTAAAAAGGAAAACAAAAGAAGAAGTTTTACATAAATGAGTCTCAAATACAAAAAACCTTTAAAAAATAATATAAATTTATAAAATTTTAAAAAGTATTTATTAAATAATTTTAAAAAAGTAAAAAAATAAGTAAAACCTAGAAAATAATATGCGATAGCAAAAGAAACAAGGCTATAAAAGTGTGTTCTCAAAGAATAAAAATATATTAATTATTTTTTTATTAAAAAAAGTAAGAAATAAAAAACAAAAAAATTGGTATAAATGGACCCCACATATAAAAATATAATCTTTACAAATAATTTTTTTATAATTAAAAAAATTTCTTAATTATTTATATATATATATATATATATAATATAAACTACATAAAGCTACCATTTAACAACCCAAAGAAAGACTATTGCTCATAGTAAATTAGCAAAATTAATATTATTGATTCTTTTTTTATAATTATTTTTTTATCTTATTAATTTTCATAGATAACTTTCTTTTTAAAATATATTTAATCAAATAAAATATTTATAAAGAACATTTGAAAATACATTAGTTTCAAATTTTTTAAAATTTAAAAAATTTCAATAAAAAAAAGAGTGAATGGACTTCATAGTACATCTCATATAAGTTTTAAGGTTTGGTTCCTCTGACTGTTAGACTCTATTCTACTAAAACTCTTGGGTCTATCTTAGCTTATGAATCGTGACACATGTACATACTTCGATCACCATCGGGATATGTTGGTCTTTGGTCTCGATATATGCATTAACGTATATGTTAGCCTTTTGTACGGTCAGTTTCCTCGAACATCATTGATACATGTTAGACCATGCAACCTGTACAGGTATCCTGGGCTTGGATTGCACACCATACACACCATGATAGAGTGATATGTGGATTTAGATATATCTTTATATATTTTATTGTACCAATATCATTTTTATGACTTATAAATTCAATATAAGTATTCACTAACACTTGCACTTAGGCCTAGTTCAATTATGCTGAACATGAATACTGTGCCTAAGCTTTCAATAAGCCTCAAAGCTTGATCTTTCTAATTATTAAATGCTGTCCGACTAAAATCCCTAGGTATAGATTAACTTGTGAATCGTGATACATGCACATACCTCGACTACAATCAAGACATGTTAGCTTTTGGTCTTAGCACATATTTCGATTACTATCGACACATGCTGACCTTTTATGCAGATAATTTTCTTGAACAATACCTATACATGTTGGGTCACACACCACGCACAAGTATCTGGGGCACAAATAATGAATTATGTGCATCACAATCGAACAATAAATGAGTTCAAGTATATTTTCTACATAAACACATTATATCAAACATCAAAACTTATAGTACTATATTTCCTCAAAACGTACGAAAATCATATTAATTTCACCGTACTAAAAAAAATTAAAGAAAATGGGTGAATAGTTATAGGCAAATAAAATAAAATAAAATTAAAAATATCATTTTCGCGTAAGCAAAACCTGGCACGAAAAGGCGACACCGCTATGCGTGGGTCCCACTTGGCATGTTCCTTCCCTCACTCCCAAGCAATTTCTCCTGGCGGCGCCGACCCTACCGCCCCTAAAGCCCTAAAATTAAAATTATAAAACCAAAAATGAAGTACAAAAAAAAAAAAAAAAGGAAGAAAGAAAATCCCTCTGACCTTTCTCATAGGTGCTACTGGTTTCAAATCACTTAGCTCTCTCTTTTCACTCTTGATTTTTTCTCTTAAGCGTAGGCATCAGTGGCAACAATGGCTAGTTCTGCTAAAGCCGATCCAGAGGAGCACAACAGAGAAGATGAAGAGAACGCTCCCGCTGCCGACGATGAAGACACTGGCGCTCAAGTCGCTCCTATCATCAAGCTCGAGGAAGTCGCTGTCAGTACTGGTGAAGAAGACGAGGATCCGATGCTTGATCTGTGCGCAATTTATCTACTTTTTCTAACTTTATTTTCTTATATTCTATTTACAATCGTTCTTTTTTCGCTGAAATATGATTTGATGCAGGAAGGCAAAGCTGTATCGATTCGATAAGGAAGGGAATCAGTGGAAAGAGAGAGGGGTTGGAAATGTGAAACTTTTGAAGCACAAAGTTAGTGGCAAAGTTCGACTGGTTATGCGCCAATCTAAAACTCTCAAGATCTGTGCAAATCATTTTGGTTTGTTCTTTTTATTTTATTCTCTCACTGTTTTCCTGATTTTAAAATATTTAGCTAAGTTGAAGTTTGTTCATGTAGTATTTGAAGTATTATTATTTTGGTTAACTTTTTTTTTTTTTTTGGGTGTGTTTGTGTGCCGGGGGGGGGGGGTAATTTTGGTGATTTTGAATCTAATGGTTGCAGTTCTTCCAACAATGACTGTGCAAGAACATGCTGGAAATGATAAATCATGCGTTTGGCACGCAACTGATTTCGCTGATGGAGAATTGAAAGAAGAGATGTTCTGCATTAGATTTGCTTCTGTTGAGAGTGAGATTTTTTTTTTTTTGTTGCTTTAGTTGCTTCTAGCTATTTCTTTTTTAATTTATTTGCAAAATTTATTGAGTTATCTACATTTTCTGTTGCATGTATTTTGGTACTATGACTAACAGTTAGCATAACAAATAATGCTGTGATGAACTTCTCTTAAACATAGTTATTAAATTTTATTTATAATGTTTTAGATTGAATTGTATATCCATGTCCACTCATTGTTTCTTTTTAAAGAGTTCAGTATGCTGACTAAATCATGTCAAAATCAAATCATGAATAGGATTTTCATGTATGGTTTGTATCAACATTTTTGTTTTAAAATGTCTTTATTTGATTTTGAAGCGACTTTAGTGCAAACTTAAAGTATAATGCTGAGTGGAATATCTTGTGGTACAGCATCTTAAAGCTCCATCAGCTTTCTTTTAGTCTATTGAGAAACTTGTCTGATTGCTTATAGCAATCTGACATATATATAAGAAATTGCTTTGAAGTCTTGGATATGGGAAGATGTTACACCTTAGTTTTCTGCTTGCTTCACGTGATACTTGAAAACTTAAAAAGATTTGGTGCACAAATTCAATGAGAGAGAATATTGTAGTTTTGGTTTGGAAACTGTAGTTCATGATAGCTTGATAAGCCAAATCTGACATTACCTAAGAAAGTTGGAACATAAGACCAGCCTTTTACCTGCAAATGTGAATACTAGTATCTAATCACCTTTGCTAAACAAACTAAAGAAAAAGTGAATAAGTTGAAACAGTTGCTTAGTAATCTTAAGGGAAGAAGGATAAAAGGCAAAACTGACCCATATGTACCTGCTTATTTGTATTTTCTGCAGATTTTGCTGGCTTAATTGTAGATTTTTGGGAAGTATGCAAGATATTATTAGTCCTTTGTATTCCTTCTCCTTGTTCACGTGCATGTGAGTGTTCCTGTTTATATATGGGTGTTTGGAAGGTTGAATAATCTGCAGTATATTGTAGACTACAAGGGATTTTTTCAACGGATGTCAATTTCTGAGTTCTAACATCCTTCTGATCAAATCTGTTCAATAATATACTATTGTAGATGTGAATGTGGGAAAAGTGTCCTTGCTTGCAATTGAAAAAATATACCAATTTTAGTACACAACTTTTTGTATGCTTGGCTGACGTATTTGTCTATGTTCAGATTGCAAGTCCTTCATGGAGATGGTTCAAGAGGTCGCTGAAAGTCGGGGAAAGAAAGAGGAAAACAAAGATGCCACAGTTACTGCTGATCTCCTTGAGAAGTTGAGTGTCGGAGAAAGTAAAAGTGACGGGAAAGACCAAGAAGAAAAGGCTGCTGCCTCCAAGGACAAGGAAGCCGTGGAAGATAAATCAGAGACAGAGGAAGGCACGAAAGATGAGCCTGCTTCAAAAGCATAGACCTGAAAGAGCAACCATACCTGAAAGAAGATTTCGAGTGGTTAGGAGACTGATATTTTTCTCCCAGGTTTCAGAGGTTAATATTTGCGAACAATCAAACAATGTTGGAACCTGTGGATGGTATGGGACTATTTGTTTATTTGTCTGCATGGGGTTGTAATTTGGTTTGGAGGGATAAGCAATGTTTTAATGAAGTCTGTTTTCTAGCGGATTTGGTGGTGTGATACTTTGTTTCAGCTATTGAAATTTAGGTGACACATGCATCTAAGATACCAGATGCTGGTACGGTTAGTTTACTAGTTTATCCTGAAGGTGCATTTAATCACAATTTGACAACGTCAATGTAGAGATATGCAGCTCGGAAATTATGGAGATCTTCAATTCAAATAATAACGGAGATGGAGTTTTTCCTTTCGCTGTGTGTCAAACTCAATTAACTTTGTCAAGTTTGTTTTCTTATTTTGAAAAAAAAGAAGCATAAATTCGAACTCATTAATATTTGATTATTGAGGCCCAAAAAACTGGAAAGACGTTGGGTATATGTATATCCTTCATGAAGTAAGAAATCTCTCAAGAATTTAACCTTTCTTTTTCCGCATAAAATTTTCATTCCACTCGCGTGTAGAGTAAATGACATCCCATAAACTCAACGCCCTGACCCTCGTGTTGCTTTAAAATACCCAGGCAGCAGGCAAGGACCACAGCAAGCTATTCAAAAAGTTTCTTATACGGCAAAAATTAACATATGAACAAATCAACACCCCACCCAAGCAGCCATAGCAGAAAAATACAAAGAATGTAGAAACCACCAAACCCATCTCAAGAAAAAGCATGAATGTCACCTGGAATGGAAAACATAAAAAATACAATTAGATACGGCATTGCTTTCACAGATTAAATGGTTAGAAAGATTTTATTTTTCTCATGTTACTGGCAACCGAAGTAAAATCCCATACAGGCAATGGTAAAGTGGATATTTAAGAGCATGCCTATTTTAGAAGATTGGAAAATCTTACCTAAATGTTTTCTCAATCTTTGGAAAAGTAGAAATAATCGCCCAGAAAAAAGAAAAGACCTCAGTTGATAAAAAGAACATCAGAGCTGCCCTATGGTATCTTCAGCGCCTGCTTCAATTGTTCAAAAGCTGCAGGATGCATCCTACCAATGGCAGAATTAAATGACTCGCCATGAATGGCAGCACAAGTTTGAAGATTGTCTCTCACTGAGTTTTCCAATGACAACTGGTTGATAGGGTCTGAGAATTTAATCTGTATGATGGCAAAAACCAATCCATCACAACTAATAAGTAAACAAATATATGTAATTTGACTAATGTTCTACTAAAGAATGTTAACCTGTCTTCTCCTTAACTCCTTACTGGGAAGTGAATCCTCATCATGAGACCTGCTTGAGTTCATGTTATCACCACTGCATTTTTTGAGCAAAAAATGGGAATAAAAAGTTACGAATCTCAGATGTAAACCAATCAAAACTGATAGCACAAAGGGTCTGAGGATTAACCTTGACTCTTCTTCAGTTAAGTCATCAGTCCCTCCCAAAATTACAGTAGTGCAGACACTGCATGAATAAAAGTTGATCACCATTGCACATATTAAATTTGATGCAATGCTCGATTGTGGATATGCATCAAAATCATGATTGAGGTCTTACCTTAATATCTGATCAAGTTTGTCCAGAACTTGAGGCAGCCTTAAAGTCAAAATTATGGAAAGCGCTAGGCCAAATGTTTTCTTCTGGGGTGAGGATACATTGTCTACCTGTATAAACATGCAAAGATAATGTTAAAAGCAAAAAATTAAGTTGAAGAAGACTGCCAATAAGTAAGACAGAATCTGTCTGGCAAACTCTAGTTAGCCAATTCAAAATCCTAATGGAAAGCAAAAAACCTTTAGATGGTCAAAACTTTTTTTTTTTTTGGCCTGAGTCAAAACATAAATTCAAACAGCTCAGACAATAGTACTTTGACTATCTTTCATTGTCCCCTTCATAGGGATATATTTTCTACTAACCTTGTCAAGCCATATATCAACCAGGCAAAGAAGAATATTATCTTCAACAGCTGCACCAGTCTGCTGCAGTAATGATGAAAGAGAAGGTTCTGATGTTAGTTGAGCAAGATAGTTGGTATTCATCACCAAAATCCTCGCTAGGATAGCAGCTGAAGATGCTTTAACAGCTGTCTTTGAAGGATCACCATCATCTCCTCCACTCAAGCAAATAACAACTAGTTTCTACCAACATTTAACAAGGCTTAACAGGAATTAGAGGTAATGAAAAGGCATATATCATGGCAGATATAACTGAGAACATGAATGATAAAAAATCTCTGCAGGTAAAGCACAAAGCTTACTTGTAAAGTACTGCTGATTAGTGGTGGCACTTCCATGGGAAAACACTGTAAATAGCAAAAAGATGAACAGTTACTATAACTGATTGGGTTTCTCAGATCCAATAAAGTTTTAATGATTCTAAACCTCCACTGTTATCAATGAACAATTCCATCATCCATATATACCAAAAAACTTCATTTGCATTTTCAACAATTTAAGGAATAATCATCCTATTTATGAAACAGAAGTAAACTTAAGGATGCAAAGCCCAATGGTAAATACTCATTTCATTTATACAAACTAAATGACCTCAGCTTCTCATGTTATTGTTCCATCATATATGTTCTTGACTATGTGTGATATGTGTATTCTTGGGTAAGACTCCTCTTTCTAGAACCCTCTACTATAATTAGATAATATACTGCCAAAAAATGAGAATTACTGTTTTATTGGATCCTAATTCATACAGAAACACCTGACACTCTCTTTAAATCATGAGCGTATGGGAATGCATTTGCTGGTAAAGATGTCCACGGTCTGTCCAAAGAGCTGAGATGAAAGGTCTTTTAACATTAATGATTTCACATTACAGGATGTAGTGGTTTCTAGGCATGACACAAAGTAGGATGGCCAGCACATGTGAGGAAACAAAGAAGCTGCAAGCAGACATACACAATGGTATGCTTCCCATGGATATATTATTGTTGACAGATTGTGTCAAATCAGGATCAATTTCCTGATTTGTTGGGATTTATATTTCTGGTCTTTTATTTGTTTCTATGTTTGGATGATTGTGTCCTGATTCTGTGGGATTCTTTGTACATATCAATTCCTCTATGTATTTGGGGATTCTTTTTTAATAAAATAACAGTCAGAGAACACTGTTTTTTGTCTCTGATTACATGGTATCAGAACAAGGTTTGCTTTTGAATTTTTTTCTTTTGTAATGGCCAAAACAGCCATGACTGGTGCCTCTCGACAGAGTACATCAGAGGTGACCTCTGAACCAATTCAAAATTCTTCACCAATGGTGCCTATTGCAAGTGACTCACATTCCCTGCAAATAACACAGTATAAACTCAATGGAACAAACTTTCTAGAGTGGTCTTGGTATGTGATGCTGGTGATTCAAGGGAAAGGGAAAATCGGCTATCTGACTGGAACAACAAAGGAACCAAAGGAAGGAGAACCAGGCCATTCAAAATGGATTTATGAAAACTCCATAATGGCATGGTTAGCTAATTCTATGGAGCCTAAGATTGGAAGAACCTATCTTTTTTACAGAAGTGCTAAAGAAATCTGGGATATGGTGAAGGAGATGTACTCAGATCTTGAAAACTCATCACAATTCTTTGAAATCAAGTCAGTCTTGAAAGACATAAAACAAAGGGATAACTCTGTGACTGAGTTCTACAACAACCTGACCAGCCTTTGGCAAGAAATGGGTTTATTTTCTGATACAGACTGGCATTGTGCAGAGGACAGCAAAAAATACAAGATGATGCTTGAGAAGGAAAGGGTTTTTGATTTTCTTCACGGTCTAAATAAGGAGCTTGATGAGGTGAGGTGCAGAATACTTGGAACCAAACCTGTCCCAAGCATCAGGGAGGTTTTTGCTGAAGTAAGAAGAGAAGAAAGTCGAAGGAGAGTCATGCTAGGAGAGACACCTCTCAAAACTCAGCTCTTGTTTCCAAGAAAATGATTATTCTGGACTTGGAGATCAACATGGTAACAGTAGTAATGATGGGCTTGGAGTGATCATTGTCAACGCCCTTATCATACAAAAGGAACTTGCTGGAAAATTCATGTGAAACCAGCAAATTGGAAACCACGCAAGCAAGTAGAACAAGGCAAGTGCTTTCAGGTTGCTATGGAAGAAAACAAGACTGAAGGTTCAGGTTTTAGCAAGAAGCAACTTCAGCAGCTCCAAACACTCCTCAACAATACCCAAATGACTACGCCTACTCCAAAGTGCACAGTTGCACAAAAATGTAATTACCTCTTGGCTTTGGGTGCAAAATCTGATTCTAAGAACTCTTGGATTATAGATTCTGGGGCATTCAACTGTATGACTAGTTGCCATGATCTGTTTTCAACATATAATCCATGTCCAGGAAATTTTAAGATTCATACTGTTGATGGATCACTATCCTCTGTTGCTGGAAAGGGAAACATTAAGGCTTCTAATATGACAGTATTTTCGGTCTTTCATGTTCCTAATTTAACATCTAACCTAGTGTCCATTAGTAAGTTGACAAGTGACTCGAATTGTGTGGCTAAGTTTTATCCTTCATATTGTGAGTTTCAGGATTTACTTTCGGGAAGGATGATTGGCAATGCTAAGGAGCATGAAGGATTGTTCTATCTTGAGGATACTCAACAAGTGAATAAACAAGCTTTGGCTCTAAGTGGTGAATCTGTTTCTGTTTCTAATGAAATTATGTTATGGCATAATAGGTTAGGACATCCTAGTTTTCCATATCTACAAACTCTGTTCCCTTCTCTTTTCAAGAAAAAAGATGTCCATTCCTTTGGTTGTGAAACTTGTCAACTTGCCAAACACACTCATGTTCATTATCCAAGTCATCCATATAGATTTTCTAAGCCTTTTTCTTTAGTTCACGGTGATATTTGGGGACCTTCACAAGAAAATAACATAACTGGAACTAGGTGGTTCATAACCTTTATAGATGATCACACATGAGCTTGTTGAGTTTACTTGTTAAAAGACAAGTCTAATGCTAAGACAGTTTTTCAGCAATTCCACAAAATAGTCCAAACTCAATTTCAAGCTCAAATCCAAATTTTTCGCACAAACAACGGGAGGGAATATTTTAATTCAATTCTTGGTTATTATCTAACAGAAAATGGGATCTTTCACCAAAGCTTTTGTGTTAATACCTCTCAACAAAATGGGGTTGCAGAATGTAAAAACCGTCATCTATTACAAGTAGCTCGGGCTATCATGTTTACCAATAATGCTCCTAAGTTTTTTTAGGGAGATGCTATTTTAACAGCCTCATACTTGATAAATAGACTTCCAAGTAGAGTTTTCAATTTCAAAACACCATTGAACATGTTACTTAAGTCATACCCACAAACCAGGTTGTTTACTTCTTTACCACCGAAAGTTTTTGGTTGCACATATTTTGTTCATAACCAATGTCCATCTCGTGGGAAACTAGAAACTAAAGCTATAAAATGTATATTTATTGGGTACTCTCCAACTCAAAAAGGGTATAAGTGCTACTGTCCATCCATAAAATAGACATTTGTCTCATTAGATGTCACATTCTTTGAAAATCAACCATTTTACCCAAAACCAACTCTTCAGGGGAGACAATAGGCGACGCTAACCTTTGGGATTTTTTTATTCCTTTTCCAGAAATATCAGCTTTTCCTATTGTGTTACCAATAGAAACTAAATTGGAAACAAGGAAAGATTCATCTATGCTTAGTCCTCAACAAAAAACAGAGCTCCGTGTTTATTCATGACATAAACCATTACCTCAGGAAGTACAGACTTCTGTGCCCCAACCACAATGTCAAGAATCCAATCCACAAGTAAATCCTGAATCAGAAAATGTGGGTCTACAGCACCATCACCAGTGAACACTCTACCTGATGATATAGACATACCTATAGCACTCAGGAAAGGTGTAAGATCATGCACTCAACACCCACTGTCCAATTATCTATCCTACAGCTGTTTGTCAGCAGCATTTCGTACACTGGTAGAAAAGATTGAGGAAGCTAAAATCCCAAAAAATATTGAAGAAGCCCTAAAAATTCCAGAATGGAAAGTTGCAGTACTTGAAGAGATGAAAGCACTGGAAATGAACAAGACTTGGGATGTTGTGGAGTTACCTAGGGGAAAACACCAGTTGGATGTATGTGGGTGTTTACTATTAAGTAGAATTCAGATGGTGGAATAGAGAGACACAAGGACTGCCTAGTTGCAAAAAGGTTTACTTAAACTTTTGGAGTAGACTACACTGAAACCTTTGTTTCTGTTGCTAAATTGAATACTATATGGGTACTGCTTTCACTAGCTGCTAATGTTGACTGGCCATTACACCAAATGGATGTTAAGAATGTCTTTCTTAATGGGGACCTGGTTGAAGAAGTTTATATGGATTTGCCTCAGGGTTTGAAAGGGAAAACAATGATAGGAAGGTATGCAAATTAAAGAAATCTCTACATGATTTAAAACAATCACCAAAGGCCTAGTGTCACCGCTTTACGAAGTCAGTAAGGAAACATGGATTTAGTAAAGGAAAAACTGATCATACTCTTTTTTTCAAACACACAAAACATGGCAAAAAGACTATTTTATTGTTTATGTTGATGATATTATACTGATAGGTGATGATATTGAAGAAATAGAGAGGCTAAAGAAGACTCTTGGAAAATAATTTGAACTTAAGGATCTTGGACAACTAAAATACTTTTTAGGGATGGAAGTTGCAAGAAGCAAGAATGGCATTATTGTTTCCCAAAAGAAGTATACAATTTATCTCTTGAAGGAAACTGGTATGCTTGGCTATAAACCAGCTGACACACCTTTAGATCCTAATGTGAAGCTTGGAAAGAAAGGAGGAATTCCAGTAGATAGGGAGAGATATCAACGAATGGTTGGAAAGCAGATCTACTTGTCTCATACAAGACCTGATATTGCCTTTGCAGTTAGTGTAGTAAGTCAGTACATGCTCTCTCCACTTGAGGAGCATCTTGAAGTTGTGTATCAAATCTTAAGGTATTTGAAGGCCACACCTGGCAAGGGTTTGTTTTTTGAGAAGAATGAACAGAGAAATGTGGAAGCATTTATAGATGCAGACTGGGCAGGATCAATTGAAGACAGAAGATCCACTTCTGGGTATTGTACGAAGGTTTGGGGTAATCTTGTCACATGGAGGAGCAAGAAACAGTTTGTTGTTGCTCAAAGTAGTGAAGAAGCAGAATTTAGAGCTCTTGCACAAGGAGCTTGTGAACTTATCTAGCTGAAAAGACTTTTGGAAGAATTGAAAATGACAGCTGAATATCCTATGAAACTATATTGTGATAACAAGGCTGCTATAAGTATTGCTCATAATCCAGTGCATCATGATCGAACAAAGCATGTGGAAGTTGATAGGCATTTCATCAAAAAGAAGATTGATATGGGAGTGATCTATATGACTTATGTCCCTAAAAAGCAACAAGTAGCAGATATCCTAACAAAGGGACTACATAAACTATGTTTTGAGACTCTTGTTGACAAGCTGAGAATGATAAATATCTATTCTCCAGCTTGCGGGGGAGTGTTGACAGATTATGTATCAAATCAGGATCAATTTACTGATTTGTTGGGATTTATATTTCTGGTCTTTTATTTGTTTTTATGTTTGGATGATTGTGTCCTGATTGTGTGGGATTCCTTGTACATATCAATTCCTCTATATATTTGGGGATTCTTTTTAAGAAGATAACAGTCAAAGAACACTGTTTTTTGTCTCTGATTACAATTATTTGTAGCAGAAAAAAAATCGCTATACATGCACTGCTACCGGCTTCTTCAAAATTCAGCCTACTTCATATCATGGCACTGCCCTGAAAATTTAACATACAATACCTGTACTAGAATCTCAATGACAGGAAGTGTTGAAAGCAGCCCTCTGTCATTGACATTTCCAACAATGAGATCTAGAAGTTTAGCCACATTGGAAGCATGCATGCTAAGAAATTCCCTTCCACCCAAAATAATGTAATCTTCAGCAATATCAACAGCAACCTGCAAGCATATTCAGATCAACATAATATTAGAAGAGAGATGTAAGTTGCAAACAATCATTTATAAAAATGTGAAAACCTAAAGCACCAACAGATGGGCAGTCCAAGACAATAAGACACCTATACTGTTTGCAAAGAAGCCATTGCAATCCTACTTTCTCACTACAAAAAGGGGAATGAAAGCACTGACCTAATAAGGACGGCAATAATTCAAGAAGTCTAACCTGCAACTGGTCGAAATTTCTTTCCAAGATTTCCACTAGACATGGGAAATATGCTAATAATTGTTGCACCATTGCAGGTGCATGAGAAAGTGTAGCTTCCCACAACTGCAGATATGAGGACATTTAGCACAAGATGTTTATAGGTAAAGGCAGCCAGATAAATAACCAAATATCTGGGCAGCAGTCTAACCAGCATGCTATCTTCCAGAAGATTGAGTTCATCTGGGCCATTTACATCAATCCCCTTCTGAAGAATGGGCAGGAGTATGCCGTAGCAACTAGGTGACTGATATCCAAGTGCAACAACAAAGTTCTGCAAAGCAATAAGAAGCTGGATCTGTAGAAGGCTTTCACCAGAAGATTCTTCCCAAACCTTGTCATAGGAAATTAAAAGAAAATATATATTACAAAAAACAGCTGATAAGTAATCTATGATATGTCTAGCCAAGTTAATTAACCCATTTACACTCAAATTTCACCCAGCATTCCAAATCATACATTTTATTGTTGTAATCAACTACTCATTAGGACACACACTTCTTGCAAAAAAAGTTGAGCACTTAATCATACATGACAGCAAATTTTGCATCAAGTTTCACAACAGCAATTTCTAATATTGATAATTAACTGATTTGGTTTGTTAAAAATTCCTTGATACTTATATTGTCAACAAAAGCATATGAAAGTAAACATGTAACCATTGGAGAAGAATGTAAAGCAATGACAACATACCATCTGGAAAAAATGCATTAAGTTGTTTGCATATGGGATGACTTCATTGACATGGCCAAGAAGAACAGAAATCAAATTTAAAACCTGGACCTGAAATTGATGTGAAAAGCAGCAGCATGTGAATTGAATGTCAGGAATATACACAAATGCATAAACATGCAGCACACATACAAACACAAAAAAAAGATAGATTTAAATCTAGTTACACACTCTCCTAAAACCAGAATTTGCATCTCAGATTTGCTAACCTATATTTATTAATGTGAATCTAAAGAAATCAATTACGATCTTAAGTAGGAATGGGCAAAGCACATCAGTACAAAAAGTTTTCAAGTCATATCCACTATCTATTCAACTTTATCATCAGATGCTGTATGTTCATGAAAGAAATTTTCTAAGGCTCAGACTACAGATTTCAGAAATTTTCCACAATTCAAAAAGATGCATAAATCACCTTTTTCTAGAAAAGCAGAAAGGGGAGAAAGTAGGCCTAAGCAAGCAGTGAACATCAACAACAGTAGAACTGACCTTTGAATCAAACTCTTGAACTTCTTTGACCAATTTAAAACATGAATCCCAACAAACAGGAAGTAGATCAGAAAAATCTTTCTCTGAAAAGTTTGCATCTTCAATATGTAAACACAATGATCGGCAGGCTGCCAGCTAAAACAACAATGCACAACATAGTAAGTGAGAAAAGTACAATAACCTTCAGTAATAGATTATTATGGACAGAGAAGAAGCAGGGAGACATGATGCAAAAGGAAAAGAGGAAAAGCAAACTTATGGAACATACTCTCACAGACAAGTCTTTGTCCTGTAACAACCGTATTAATGCACAGTATACAGCTCTTTTTGTGTCGTTCTTAATCTGCAGGATTGCAAACATCAGAAAAGAATCATTTATGACTATTTCCCTGCTGCAAACCAAAGTACATTATTAACATTCCAATTAGAAATTAAAGAGGAATAACAAATGATACACAGTATTATATTGATATTATGAATTCTCAGACTCCTGATGCATCACTCTTCTACTATGACATAAAACAGATTACCCAATTCTTGATGCAAGTCAATTGAAAAATCATTCATCCAATGCATAACAGATCAGAGCTTATTCCTAGTGGCACTTATTTAAACTCTGTCTTTGATTTATGTACTCTATATTCAATTGTTGCAGCCAATGGAACAGGATCAAGTGCCAAATTTATGGCTATTCCTGAATGACTAGTTTCTTCCATTAGGGAAACAAACTGCAATGCTCAATTAGAAATCTAGCATGTCTGATTTGAAAAAAATTAGCAACCATCATTTTGCCAGAGTGAAAGATTCAGTGTTGATTGGACAAGCTTCTGACCTGAAAACTATTGGTCACCGTGGTGCTATACTGATGGAAGCCTCAACATACTGCTGTGGCATGCATATAGACACACACATACACTTCACAAGAAAGAACTCTCAGAGAAGATATGATAAGGCCTGTGGAAGGATATTATGTTACCTCAGAAACCCATTGCCCCAATATCAGTGCAACTTTCCGGTGGATGATACGCATATTTGGATGATCATTAGAAAGTTCAAGGGATAAAGCACCATTAAACCTGCAATCCAGGATTTTTCAGGAAAAAGAGAAGATCATTTCATCATACCACCTATTGAAACATAAGAAGATGATACTATTTATTTATTCACAATGCAAATAGTGCAATACTTTAACAACTTAAGCACTGAGCCAAGGATTGATTAGAAAGGGAAAAACTAAATAATGTTCCTGCTTTGCTTGGATTATTATTGGGGTTTATCAGTAAAATAAGAATAGTGGATAAACCAAGACCCCCTCAACACTCCACCCCGAAAGAAATACCCCAAATCACCACAGGTAGAGAGAATATAAATGCAGCAAAATTATCAAGTGACTAGACACCAAATATAGCGTACTGGCGAATGGGTATACCAATCTCTGAAGCTCAGGTAATTTGAGAGCTCATAATATACATATGCAGCAGCACCATAGGCAGCATCCTTAAGAAGTAACCCTGGAGTAATTTCAGTCACCGAAGTTGGGCAACCATTCATCGCCTCTTGAAGGATGGACACCACAATTGGAGCTAGCAGCTAAATATAACAAGTTAATTCGAATAAGCATACATGTATCCATATGAAACAGCTGCCAACCAAAAAAAAAAAAAAAAGAGAAAGGATAGTAACACAATAAAGTACTAAATGATCTGTAATAAATTATCACATACTTGACTGTGGTTTTCAAACAATACAATATATAAAGCCTCCGCACAAGGCCTCAGTTTCTCTGTCCACTGAACCATATCCTGCTCATGATGAAAAGCCTCAGGGTTCTCATACCATTCTTCCAAATCACTTGCAGTTAGAACAAAATACCTGTTAATACATTAATTAGGACAGACTTAGAGCAACAAGTTGTTCAAAAGCAGGCAAAACCCCAGAGGAATGCAGGGTGCTTTGTGAACTGAATTCTTGATGTAAAAACATGCAAGCAAAAAGTAATTGAAAAATATTAATTTTAACTTTCCAAATTATTTTTTTCTCTTTCCTGCAACAAAAGATTGGCTGAGGAAGGGGTGGAAAAGGAAACATCATAATGTGCAACAGGCCAAAGACAAACTGATTAAGAAAGGCTGAGGTGAAAGGGTAATTACCTCCTTATTAATACGTTGCATAAAAGTACTATCCGTTCATTAGGCAAAAGGGAAGTCAAAACACCAACAACTGCATTAGAAATGTTTTTCTTCTTCTGCTCTAGTGTGACACCATTCTCATCCATAACCCGTCCAGTAACACTTGGTTTATATTCTTTACATTCAAATACACTTTTTGCCATTACCATACACTTAATCAGGAATTGCTCAAAGGATAATATATCTGGCTCAGGATCTGTAATCTTATTTAAAGAGAAATTGAGAACAGGTTGAAGCACACATTTATCACCAAATGAATAAGGATGCCTTTGTTGAATTGCAACTAGAACCTTCATCAATTTAGTACATGCCCTCTTTATAAAGTCCCAAAATTTAGGATGTCCATTCTGAAAAGATATATCTGTAAAGGTAATACACACAAATAAATTAATCATACAAAATCTTCTATAACAAGTATATGAGATGGCTTCAGCCTTATTGTTTAAAACATGAAGATCACAAGTTTTTTTTTTTTTTTTTTTTTTTCCTTTCTGGCCAATATAAAGATCATAAGTTCAAGAATAAAAAATGATAGTTCCTCCCAAAATTAGAATGGAATAACATAGATTACCATTTCAGACCAAGGAAACCCATTTTCTATATTCCACAGGGCTACCTAGTTTTGTATGTAAAAGAAAACCAGAAAAATATAGAAATTAAAGCACACCAAAGAACTTGATTTAGTTTTACAGGCATTAATTATAACTATTGTCACTACTCTGCAACAAAGTTTGTAAAAGAAAGCAGGGGAGAACTTTCGAATAATTTGTATGCTAATTGTAATGATTGCTTTTTTTTTTATTATTATTAATTCAAATCACAAGTTAACTTGTTTGACCAGACATGCATATTGCCAATTTTTTAGGAAGGGAACAGGCAAAGATCTAGTACAAATGAATGTAGTTTTTGGATATATGGGACCAAAAATTGACATCAAGAACAAGCTATCTTACAGTATGGAAGAAATGATTGAGCAGCATTCAAGAGCACAGGAGAAACCTCTTTGACTGGTCTTATCTCCTGCCAAATGAAACATTTAAATCATCTACTCTCATTCCAAACTTACAGGAAAAAAAAAAAAACCAAGAAAACAGAATGAAATGGCAATTGACTCTAAAATCCTCAAGATATTCTAAATGGAAATTGAAAGAGAAAGAAGGAATAAGTACCTGAATACATTTTGCATCACTTTGAAACCCTGAAATCACTAATTGACATATTATCTTTAGACAAAATAACCATCTCTCACATGTTAGATAAAGGTCATCATGATGCCACTCCACGACATTTGAATTATAGCTCTGAGAGATTGTAGAAAAACCATGTAAAATTGTTTGTACATCACTCTGCCAAAGACGCCAGCAATATTCAAATAAATGGGATGATATCTGCCAAAAAAGTTTTGCATGTCAGACTCTTCTGGTCTATAGAACAGAGCAGTAACTGCAAAAATAGGAATTTGATCCTAAAACAAGTAAATTATGATTTCTAAGCAAAGACTGGAGCACAAATACGAAGTACTCATAAACCAGAATGTAGAAGACACTATTACAGCACTACATGTATATATTAGGCATTAGCATGATAATGCTTATAAAATCAAGCTGTTAGAGTAGCATCCAGCTTCACTTAAGTAAGATGGGGCCATGATAAATGGAAGGACTAACACATGACTTTCATTTAGGGGGAGGTTATAAAAACGAAGATGTTTCGTTAACCACATACCTCTGCAAAATTCCTTTGGTCAGCAGTAAGACGTTTTGTGGACAATTCCTTCAAAGTTCTAAAGAGAATCATAAAAACCCTGTGGGAGGTAAGAACATCGGCTGATTGAAGCTGCTGTACGAGAAAAGAAAACAGCTCTGGCCTAAAATCATTACACCAACAAATCAGTAAATATTATAAGCAACAAAAGGATAGGTATAAGAAATTCCATAATGCCGGAAAAAGCAAAACATATTCTAGCTCAATAAAGAGGGAGAAAACATTAATGAATATTAGTGAGTCTTACCATTCCCGGGGATAATCAAAGCGAGCAATTTTGGAAATGAGCACTGCCAGCATTTGAGCTGTCTGTATCAGAAAAAAATGCCAAAGATAGAAAGTTGTTAAAGACTGAAATTCAAACAAAATTACAGGCCACTATGCCTCATGGAATATATACAGATGCAACTAGTAGCCAACTTTAATCCAATCAAATCCTAACATATCTAAGCCCTTGCCTCGTCTGTACAATTAAAAAAACATTAATGCACATAAGCTTAAATTTTTTACCAATAGCAAGAAGAAAAAGTTTAGAGAAACACCTGATAATTCTCTTCTCTCAAGTGCGATAACAATCTTTGTTTTAAATGTAGTTTCTCTTCGCCGCTTATTCCCCTGCAAACATATTTCAGGTCATTAAAGGAAACATATATATTTATTTTAAGAAATAAATAAAAAATATATAGTTAAACACTCTTTATCAGCTTGTAATTGTGGAGCGTAATTTGCTACTTAAAAAATTCAAATGCAGTTTCGGAAGAGTTAAAATGAAAAGCCAATCCTCATATTTGAAGTTTGAGCTCATATATGAATAAAACGCATGAACAATAGCGTATAGCTTACGAGGAATCGCGTCTCTTCCTCCAATACCGGTTAATACTGTTTTTGAAATATACAGAGGCCATCAGTCGAATATCCACTTGAGACGCTAAATCTTTCGCTGCAATCACTTCCTGAAATAACACATAAAAACAATTGCAACTTAAATGCATATAAATTTCAAACGAATTGTACAGAATATGCAAAATGAGAAAAAAAAAAAAAGATAAAGAAAGAAGATAAATATATACCATGAGGCAAGAGCAGAAACCAGGCCTGCTTTCGAATTGAGAGAGAGCCGCCTCGGCCGGTTTGCGGATGGTTTCGTCTTGGCTCATTGAGTTGGCGAGCAACGAGTATACGGTAGGCAAATCAGAAGCCGAAAGAGCCATCGGTATCTCCTAAAATATTCCTCTTATCTTTAACTACAAAAAAAAGCTGAGCCGAGTTAGCGAGTTGGATCAGTGAATCGCGGGCTTTATGAGAGCGGCGAGGGAGGCTTTCACATCACATGGATGATGGATGTTGAGGTTTTTGACGGAGTAGTTTTTGAGCTTTTCTATTTGATGATGGGGAAGGCTGAAATGATATAGGGATATTCGTACAGGCGAGGAAATGTGGAGCGACGAAGAGACTGTGATTTAGATGGTGTTGGTCGTCTTTTGGCAGCTCTTTCTTTCTCTCTTCTACTCGCAGTAAGAAAAATATAAAAGAAAGAAAACCTGAGAATTACTCTATGATGTGAAATGGTCTACTGCTTTATTGTGCATCTAGGCCGTCAGATCACACGATGATATAATAGTCAAACGAAAAGATCTGTTTCGTTGGCTAGTGAAACTTCGCTCCACTTTATCAAGTAACATTTATAATTTTCAATTAGTGTGACTATATATATATATTTTGTTTGTAACGAGGAGAAAAGAAAATAAAAAAGAGACCAAAACATTTTTCCGCAATTAACAAGTAAAATTAAATATATCGGAATCTTTGTTCCTAAGCATATGGTTCAATAATGAAATATGAAGTATGAATTTATGTAATGTAAAATTTTTTTATTTTTAATTTTAATAAACTCAAAAATAAAAAATAATTTAATTTTATCTCTTATCTCTCAAATATATAAAAATCAATAAATAAAATATATAAAACTAAAAAAAGTTTACACTATATAGATTAATTCATCATTTACATATATATTATATATTATATATAAACATACATATGTAACTTGGTGTAATTGCTTATCCATTTCTATATCAATATAATTCTCAACTTTCAACAAAATTTATGTTCTGAATTAGAGATGATAACGATTCGAATAAGATCGAATTCGATTTAATTTTTTTAGATATTATATAATATTATAAAATTTTAAAATATAATATGAATTTGAATTGAATTTTCATTCTATCCGAACCAAATTGAAGTTTACTTGTTCAATTTGGTTTATCAATTTTTAAATTTAATTTTTTTAAATTTTTATATATTATTTTAATATAAAATTTTAGTATATATAAGTAGATTTTGATATAAAATTATTATATTTGTTTTATAAAAATTTAAAATATATATAAAAACAAAAAATATATAATTTAGTTCAATTGGATTTGATTTTTTTTTTATTTTTCACCTTTCTGAATTTTGATTTGAACCTAATATATATCTATATGTTTAATATCCGAATTTAATCTGAATCGAATAAGAGAAAAATTGATCTGAACCGAATTGAATATTATGGTTTCTAATCAATTTGCAATTTTCTCGATTTTTTTCACCCATATTCTTAACTAGTTGATTTGGTTTTAACTTCCTATGAGAAGTGTCCACATGGCCCTAATGCTAGACATCTTTTATTAGAAAAGACAGATGGAATTTTTTTATATGAAATTTTCCATTAGAAACAATTAAATTAAAATTAAAATAAAAAATCAAAATTGATAGATTAAAAGATCTCGTTATATAAATTATGTGTGTAAAATTTTTAAAAAATATATAATAAATTTTGATATATATTTTTAGATAGACATTTATTAGTAAAACTATTGATAAAATTTTTGCTGTTAAATAAGTATTAATCAAATTTGAATTATAAATTATAGTTTTAATGATTTTTTTACATATTATTTATCTACATATTGAACTTTATAAATTTATCTATTTGGATTTTTTATTAAAGTTTTTATTAAATTATTTTTAAGAAAAAACTTCAGAAACTTTACCTAAAAAATTTCATGTAAGTTTAGTCCTCTTATATTCTGTAAATGACTATTGAATATTGTCACGTTCTTATAAAATAAAACAAGTAAAGGTATTTTAAAGATATAGTTTCTTTCTTAAAGTACATTTATTTTATATCTCTAGAAAACCTTCTTTTTATTCTTTTATCATTAATTTCTCTTCAAAAATAATAAATTGATTTAAATAGATTATTAAAAAAACTTGAAATACCCATTTCTTGTAAGTTTAAATGCACACAAAAATTTAATCAAATTTTTTTAAAATAATAGAATCAAACTCAATCTAATTTCAAGAGACCTCAACAAATTTGATGAAATTAAGTGTCTAAATTTCAAAACTTTTACCCTAATCACATGTATAATGTCGAAGAGATAAAATAATGCCTGTAGACACCACATTTAGTTTAAAGTCTAAATCAATTAAGCCCGATTTATTTTCAAGCCCAAAGGCCCAAATTAGTTAGGCTTGGACCCATTCCATGAACAATTGCCAAATTTCCTTTTATTTATTATGTACATCTTTATCTTATTTATCCTATTTATTTTTATGTGTTAAACTTTTATTTTTATTGTGGTTTATCTTTAATTTCATTTGTTTTTTAATATTTATATTTTTATCCATTTAGTTTTTTTATTTTTTTATATTGTTTATTTGTTATCTTTCACTTTTTTCTTTTTCTTTTATATTTATTTATTTTATTTATTTATCGATATGGTCATTAAAAAAAAGATAATGAAAAAAAATGGTGGATGGCTGAAGAAATGATCAATGGTAATGTGTTATTATTATGATTAAATTGAGTTTAAACTTGTCAAGATAAATTCTATTTTGTCACGATAATTCTAGTTTTTTTACTTGGAATTCATCTAAAACTCTTATTAAGTCTTATAAATAGGACTTGCAATTCACTACCAAGAAAAAAAAACAATTTAAGGTTAAAAAAAAATCAGAGAAGAAACACACAAAGAAAGCAAAGCGGCCAAAAAATAATCACTTTCATTTGTCATCCTTGTCTCAATCACAATAAAAACCCTCGTTCCTATTGGTTGAACCTATTTTGCCTACATTAATTTTAATTTCACCTTGCTGCCAAGCTAAATCACACCGCCCCAAACTTGAGTTTATCTTTCACTGTAAAGAGCCCACAACAAGCACATGAGGTGAAACTAGTACAAGTCAAAAGGATTCAAAGAGCCAAACCTTACCACCAACTTAGTTGAATCCACAACTAGATGCAAACATAATCCCAACCATAATCCAGAAACCCAAAAAATCAATAAGCCACATAAACTACTTCATCTTACCACCATTCGAACCACTATGACTAAGCAACAACCACCGTCAATAGTCGCTACCATCAATAATGTAAATATACAGAGACATTTCTAGCCCCATAAAGTGTCCTACCATCCACCTTTAACCTAACTACTACCTACCAACCTAGTAGTTCATTAACACAGGCAACCCAAAAATAGGCAACAATTGCTAGAAAAAGCAAGGAAATGAGTAACTTACAAAATTATTCTTTTTCAAAGCTTTTGGATAAACACCAACGACAATAACATCTATGACAAAAATGGTGCAGCTGTGGTGGTTAGCAATGGTTGGTGTGACTTTTGAGAGATTCGAGTGGTCAAAATGGAGAACATGACTAGTGCCACAACATACTAAAAGTTGGAAAAAATCAGACGATAGGAAGTGGTTGACACAATGGTGGAAAAGTCTTGATTACAACTTCAGATTTGAAACATTATGAGTCAAAATTTGAGACTTCTGGCCCTATATTTGAGACAAGGAAGCCAAAAAGGAGCTTGTGGTGAAATTTCAATGCCAATGGAGATAAACCAACGACAAGCAGTGGTAACTTGTGATGATGGCAATGGTGGAGCCTTGTCGATTTCTAGGCTGCTTAAAGGATTTGGTGGCTGAAAAACCTTTTCTAGAGAGAAGGGCAATGAATTTTTAGAAAGAGAAAGAAAAAGCCTTGAGAAATAAAAAAAAAAAAGAGAGTTTGATTGTCTGTCATAACATTTAGGTTAGGAGAACCGGCCCATTAGACACAAAAAATCATAGAGTCACCACTAATCTTTTTTACCTATGTGTGATTAGCTACCTATGTGAATCTATCCTCTTTAAAGTTGTCTTAAGTGTAAACTAAGGGTCTTTAACAAGATAGGTTTTGGTCTATATTATCAGAACTAAGATTCGACATTCAGTTACATGCAAGAAAAAGTGTTAGCACCCATTTATGCCCAAAATTGGTACCACATTAATTAGGTGCTATCTTACCTAAGTCTTGTCAAAGATAATCTTTATCATGCAAATCAAAATCATAACATGGTGATACAAAAAAAAATCAAAATATCAAGCAATCATGCAATAAATATATAATCATACCACGTAAAATTTCTCATGCAAATATATTATAAATCATACCAAATATCATGTAATAATATCATGGCTAGATCATGCTAGAGTATTCATGCAAGAATGTCATGCAAATATATTAATTATCATGTAACAATAATAATCATATATATATATAATATCAAGCAAATATATTATCATGCAATAATATAAAATACCATGCAAATAAATAATCATGAAATCAAATATAATCACACAAATATATTAGAAATTATTTAATTAAATATAATTATGCAATTATCCACAAAATAAATATAGAAACATACAATTAGACATTATTCAAAAATCATGCAATAATATATAATATCATATCATGCAATAAATATAAAATCATGCAATAATAATAATAAATAAATAAATAAATAACTATGCAAAAAAATATATTAACAATCATATAATCACACAAGTAAATAAATTAATAATCATGCAAATAGACATGTAATTAAATATATAATCATGCAATTAAATATATAATCATGCAATTAGCAATATAAATCACGCAATTAAATATATTATAACAATATAAATCATGCAAATAAATTTGTAAATAAAATATCATGCAAAATAAATAAAAAATCAAAATATTTTCTTTTCAGCATTATATTAGTTCCATTAATGTTCAAAATAATAAAATTAACAAAAAAAAAATCAAATAGAAAATCAAACCAAACAGAAAATAAAAATCAACCCAAATAGCAAATAAAAATCCAATAAATCAAGAAATAAAAATTAAAATGGAAAAATAGTTTAAAAAAAGAAAAGGGGAAACTTGCGATCCAGGTTAGCACGCAGATCTTAGACGGGTTGAAGTGCGGGTTTAGGTTTGCTAAAATAACATTGTTTAATGTTGGTATAAAAGCAAAAAATTTCCTATTTTCTCATACCTGCCTTGCTTCTTCTCCTAATAGCTTCAGAATGCTTTGCTTTCTCTCTAGGTTTTTCCTTAAAACATCCAAACCAGTGTAGAATTTGGCAGTATTCCCAGAAACTAACACCGAAAAAATCAAATGGCATAAAAAATTCAAAGAAAAGCCAAAAACAACCTTAAGTTCTAAAATATGACTGTTGCGAAATTCCTTCCGTCGTCGTAAGCCCACCGGTAAATTTAAGTTTCACCTGAAACTTCAAGCTTGAACCCAAAAAAACCATAGATTTTTTCCAGAAAAAAATTTCA